TTCCTACTATTTCTGTTCAGAAAGGATCAGTCTTTTCTTGGGTATCAACAAAGAATGGCATATAAATTGTGATAAGACTACTCTCCTCTCACTGTTTTAGGGCTGGGAAGGCAATGCAGAATGAGGAAAGATTTCCCAGGAGCCAGTAAGACATGAGGGACAGTCCCTGCTCCCATTTTTAGGAGTCACATCAATAAGCAAAACTACACAACTGTCACATATCTGTAAAGAGCTTAGATAGGTCCCATGCAGGCTTTCTAGTTGTTGGTTCAGAATCTGTGAGTTTCTGTGAGTTAGATTAATTTCTTTGAATTTTATTACAATGTCCTTGACCCCTCTAGTTCCTATGACCCTTTCTCCTTCTCTCAGCAGAATTCCCTGAGCTAGGCCTTATGTTAGGTCTCTGTATCTCTTTTCATCAGTTACGGGATGTATGCTCTCTGATAAAAATTTGGTTAGTCACCAACCTGATCACAGGAGATAACAAGTTCAAATTACATATCCACTATTGATGGGAGTCTTACTCTGGGTTACCTTTATATATTCATAGCAGTTTCCCTTGCATCAGGGTTCTACCTGTCACTGAAAATCACCCTTTCTACTCATTTCTTTCACATACTCTACCCTCTGCCCACTCTCCAACTGGCTCTCTCGAGTTTTTGTCCCGATCTTCCTTGTTCCTCACAGGAGGTCTTCTCTTTCCCTTCTCTGTGAGATCCATGTGTTCCCCCTTGGGTCCTCCTCATTACCTTGCCTGTGACTCTGTGAATTGTTGCGTGGTTATCTTTTTCTTCACAACTGATATCCCATTATGAATTAAAATGGAACAAGACATACAAACATAAATAAACAAAAGATACTAGACAAACCAAACAGTAACAAAAGTGATTTATCCTGACCTCAATTCTTTGAATATCCGCACAACTAAGATTTAAACTTGAATTCCCTTTGCAGTGTTGTTTCAAAAAAAGTATTACTGTTCTTTGAGGAGTATTTTTACTAGTTTTGGTGTCTATATTGTCACTTTATGGAAATGCAACATTTTAAGAACAAAGTTAGCAAACATATATATATATATGTGTGTGTGTGTGTGTGTGTGTGTGTGTGTGTGTGTGTGTGTGTGTTATTCAATGGCAAAGGGTGCCATGCCATTTAATTTTGTACAGGGTCTCATGTAACCCATTGCCGCCTCAAACTCATCATATTGTCGATACGACTTTGAAATTATCATCCTTCTACCTCTGTGTCTCAAGTGTTAGGATTCTAGTTTTGTCTCCACATTCACTCTGTTTCCTGCATTGCTTTTGATTAAACTTGGAGCTTCATGAATGCTAAGAAAACCACTCTACCACAAAGGTATCTACATTATGAAGAAATTTTTACAAGTCAAAACTGAAGAAGAACCATCAGTTAATATAAAATAATAACTCTGACTAATGGGATTAACTACAGAATCACCTCAGGTTGAAGTGGAACTAATAGTTTTTTTGGCAGGTATCACTATAGAGGCGCTTTATGTAAAAGGCTGCAGTAGCTTCTCTGTGGGTTGTGGTCTTGACAGAGTCTTTCTTGATGGTTTCCATTAACAATCATGTATAAGAATTCTTCCTTCACAACCTCCTTGGTTCATTATCCTTGTGCTGTTAATGCTTGAGGAAACATATGTGCTTTCATTCTCACAACAATCATGTTTTGTGAAGAAGAGCAGGGGCACATTCTATTGCTTATCAGTATGCTGCATGAGCAGCAAAAGCACTTCACATTAAATATGAAAGGCCAGTCCCAATGGATACCTCAATAAAGCACTACCATATATAACTCAGCCCTATACACACATTAAAAAAATACACACAAATGGGCAAAACTGGGAGTGATAGAATCATAACCCCCTCCCAGGAAAGAGTGCACCATTGGTTGCTCAGTAACCAAACATGAAAAATCATGAATACACATAAAGTTAGATAAAGCAGATATTATTGGAGATTATAATTGTATGTATGTGTGTGTATGTATGTATGTATGTATGTATGTATGTATGTGTGTATGTATGTGTGTATACATATATATGCATGCAATAACAATTATGAACAAATAAGTCAGGGAATTGAAGGAGAACATGGATGATATATGTAAGAGTTCTGATATTATTACAAGTATAACAAAACTATAATAGATTGCAGCTAATAAATGTACTTTGGAGAAACAAATATAGCAACAGATTTATTATAGGAAAGATTAGGAGCATATTTAAGTCCATATTTACTTTGTTTATAAAACTTAATTTCATATACAATAATGTTACTCTAGACAACTGTATGTAGAGTTCAAAAAATACTTTTAAAATTGTATGAAATTAAAACTATATTTAATGAAGCAAAAGCTTGTGATGAAAAGTCAAAAGAAGTTTTGAAATTATTTTAAGACATACAGATTCTATATAAACTACTAATATGTAATTTCTCTGTAGGTGTGTCTATTATAACATAACGATGTTCTTTAACTATATATAATGAAATGTATTTGAAAATAAAGATCAACAAAATAACCTAAAATAAGGTCATGTGCCTGATTCATAGGTGTGGTATGTGTTGGTCATAAAGTATCAAAAGAGAGTGAGAAAGAAAAAAAATATCTCCATGGGCATTTCTAGGTGTAGAAATAATTCTCTAAATAAGCATGCGAACTTTAGAACTACAGATATGTTTTATCCCCTTTTCAACCAACTATTACAATTATTAATGTGGGTCCATATATTTATGTAGCTGTATTTATATTTACTTGTTCTCCTGCAACATATGCATGAAGCTCAGAAGACACCTGAGTGAGTGGTTTCTATCCTTCCACCCTGTGGATCCTTAGGATTAACTCAAATCATCAGACCTGGCACCAAGTGACATTAATTGCTAAGGCATCACACTGCACCATGTGATTTATCTTAGCTTGTAGCTTGTCATAACACAAACAAATTATTAGCTCATATTTACAAAATATTTATAAGGTTAGAGAATCAATTTATTTTTGAGCTCTTGGATTAGATTCAAGAGAAGTTGGAGGCTATGAATCCTCAAGGAATCTGAGTGCAAAGGTTTTCCAATTTCATGGTCCTGTTGATTGTGGAAATCTTTCCAAGGGAGATATGACTCTCGTCAGTGTATATAAGCCACACTGAAAGGAAACAACTCAGTGACATCAGTCAGAGTAGAAACAATGATTAAATGTTTCAGATTCTAGGGAAACATCATTCAAAAGGGAAGATTTGTTTAATAAAGTGATTGTTGTAGCGTGAGTATATCACAAACTGATTGTTGTGCTTTAAATTGCCATCACAATTACTCATTTAAGCTTTGTTTATATTTCTGTTTGTTTTAGTAGCACATTGTTTTAAATCCTTCACAACTTACAGTAAGTCTCGCATTTGTAGTTTTAATTGCTGTGTTTGATAAAAATACTATAGTTTCCTCTTTCAACTATTACTTGAGACATCAGAAAAGATAAAGACATTTGATATGCTCACATCTATTGATAACTTAGGGTAAACTTTAAAAGTTTCTAATTTCCCAGTACAGATAAACTTTGTATCTATAGTTCACTAAACTTACTCGGTTATCTGATTAACTTTTGAATTTTAAATTCTCTATTTTCTCAAGATACAGACAATATCTTAGAAAATTAGTTATTAGAAATTGGAGTGAAATTAGGGTGACACAGATTAGAGGAATCCTAATTTTTTAAAAAAGATGTGTGAAAATGACATTGGTATTCAACAAGTTAATTATACTCAATTTTAAACACAGTGAAATTAATTGTAGGTAATTCTGACTATTTTTGCTACTTAAATTGATCAGTTTTACTTATTTGTATTTGTATTTAAATAGCAAAGTCTTTTATTTTACAAATGTCATTAATCTCCTTAAACTTCTTGTAATTGAAATTCCTATCATTTGTTTGATAATTGGAAGTAATATTGAGGATTCAAAATCAGACAGACCTCATTTTTCACTAAAGTGTTACTTCTGCATGCAGCTTATTGGCCCAGGAAATTATAATAATCACTATTATTATTAATATATAATGTTTTAAGTACTTAACAAGAAACTCATAAAAATCCTCTAATTTGTTAACGTTTACCCTTTCAATTTCAAACCTAAAAAGAGCAAGGAAATTTACAGACATTAAAATTGAGAAAGAAAACTTATGAGAAACATTTAAAATTGGACAATCAATAAAGGAAAAAAGAAAAGTGGAGAAATGAAGCAGAAAGGTGGAGAGACAGAGAAAACAAAATTCATGAACATTATTCAAACTGTTGTATGAAGTATCATGATTTATAGTTGAAAAGCTGTATGTATATGACAATAAGTAACATCCTTCATGCCTCGTAACAGATGATTGTTCAGAGATATACTCCAATGAGTAAGTCCAAAGTTCAAGGAACACATGATGCTGAAAATATGTGTTTGGCAGGTGAATTGTCAATTTATTTGATGAATTATTTTTTCACAAATTTTAATACACTGCATTTGATTCTGCCTATAGACATAGTCAAAAATAGACATTATATTTGGGAATTTTATGTTTATTTTGAAAATATATGAATGGCCTATCATTTTGGTATAAACACAATCCAATGAAGATGCTGTAAATATGACTCAGATAATAATTGAGGAATATTACCTCTGATACCATGAAAAAAGAAAAATTTAAGGTAAATTTTTACCTTAAACGTAAACAGAGTAATTGCTCCTGCTATTTTTTGGACAATATGCTCATTAACACCCCTATGTATATTATCTTTGAGATGTATAATTTTTTTAAATTATAAAATGATTAGAAAGTATATACTAACATGAAACAGTTAATGCAAATTTGACAGAATACAGTGCTGATATAATTTGAATTCTTTTTTTCTTAATTGACTGTGACCATTAAGTTACTGTCTCTGTTTCAATAATGGTTTGTTAGGCTCTATTTCTCTCAACCCATTGGAGCAAAATCAAATAATGGAAGAAGTAAACCACTCTGTGGTTACTGAATTTATTTTCCAAGGACTTTGTACCTCAAGGGAACTACAGATCTTCCTCCTGCTGCCATTTTCCACCCTCTACCTGATGACTGTGGTAGGCAACCTCTTTGTTGTGATATTAATCATCACTGATCATCATCTCCATTTTCCCATGTACTTTCTGTTAGCCAATCTCTCATTTATTGACTTATGCATTTCCTCAGTTACTACCCCCAAACTGATCATAGACCTTGTAAAAGAAAATAAACTAATTTCCTATGGAGGTTGTATGAGTCAGGTCCTCTTTGCACATTTCTTTGTAGGGAGTGAGATGGTACTTCTTGTAACAATGGCCTATGACCGCTATGTGGCCATCTGCAGACCACTCCACTATACCAGCATCATGGACAAACAGAAGTGCATCTGGCTGGTTGTGATATAATGGATCATTGGATTTGTACATGGTGTTAGTCAACTGATCCTGATTTTGGAGCTACCTTTCTGTGGACCTAGAGTGATAGACAGTTTTTTCTGTGATATTCCTTTGGTGATAAAATTAGCCTGCATTAATACTGATAATCTGAGAATTATGATAAATGCTGACTGTAGTGTTGTAGCAACAGCTTGTTTCATTTTCTTGCTGATATCTTACACTTACATTCTATTAACTGTTCGGCTTCACTCTAAAGATGGTTCATCAAAAGCACTCTCTACCTGTACCTCCCATATCATAGTGGTTGTGCTATTATTTGCACCTATCATTTTCATCTATCTGTCTCCTGTCAGCATCACATGGCTGGACAAGTTTCTTGCTGTATTTTATTCAGTCATCACACCTCTTCTGAATCCAGCCATCTATACACTAAGAAATAAAGATATTAAGAATGCCATCAAAAAGATGATTAATCACATGTGAGTTCTGGAGTAATTTTTGACATCTTCTCTAGTTAGCAAATTCGTTGTGTAAACATGATTTTATGCACATTTCATTGGAAATTTAATCGTATAAAAACTTGTTCTGGGAATCTATAATTTATATTTAGCTTATGGTAATTAAGATAATCATGTGAAAATATGTTTGAAATTGTAATACTTACAGTTTACCACGTAGAATGAGTCCTGCAAAAATACTTGTATATATTAAAGATTAGAAGATATGTTGAAAAATAATAGCATTAATACATGGAGCTTTATTTCTTAAATTGTTAGATTTATATTTAGATTTTTTAACTTTAATAAGATTGTTATTAACAAAATTCCCTTTGAATTGCTTATCAATTGTATCATATTTTAAAATATTTCATTCTATGTTAATCTTAATTCTGCCTTTGCAACAGAAGATATTTAAGATGTTTGTGAAGATTGCATACACTTAGAAATTAAAATGTTAAAAATATCAAATCATAACGTTAGTTGTTTCATATTGTTATAACCTCTTTAAGTTTTTGTGTCTTCTCTATTCATATAAATTCAGAATTTTTAATATTTAGTCTGTACTCAAAAAAGCAATCTATTTATAATATTTGAATATACTTTGCTCAGTTCACAAATTATTTGTATGATCATGATTTTATGTTAAAAAATGAAGTAACATAACTGCCAAGACCAGTTAGGTAGTTATCATACACTTGATAATATGATATTCATTATAATTCATCCTGTATATAATTTCATGGAATGTTAGCCATACTTTATGTATATATGTTTACAATAGCTTGGAGGTCAGTTAATTTCAAGACAGACATGAAGATCAGAACTTCTTGAATATTATGCAAACATTTCATAAGTTAATGGCTAAAATTCACTGGTATGTATATTCTAATAAGTTAAAGTGATTGTCAAAACATAAATTATCCAACAATACAACACAAATATCTGTATCATGTTCTCCTCAAATGAAATTTTACAGTAAAGGATAGTACATGCCTGGCCACAGATTTTGATGTGTACATATGTATAGGTTCTTGTCTTTTTCAGAACAAATTATCTCCACTGTGTTTATAGATTTAACTCTCAACCATATTGTCACGATATTTTTATTAGGTTAGTTATTTGACAATATCTATAACAAGCTGATTACATCTGATAAAGTCTATGACCTCTTATTTCCCTCCCAAACTTATGAGTCCCTTCTCCACACACAAAATCACACTTACATAATACACCCACAAACACATTCATGTATTTTTGTTTTGCTTTTTGATCCATTGCTATGCCCCATAACCATCTGTGTGTCCATTGATTGCAACTATCCCTGGGGCACTACGATCTCATCAGTAGGTCTCAACTGAAGAAAATGCCTGGCATTGTCCCAGAATCACCAGTGGCTCACTGTTTAGCAAAGTGTATACTAATTAATTGTTAGAAGTAGTGATTTTCATTGTAAGATGCTCATATAACTATAATATATACTAATCAGAGGCATTCTTCTTTCTGTCACTTATTTGCCTGCTTCTGCATCCACTTGTGCGTTTCTTCTTCTCAGTTACACTTTCTTCTACTTTAATTTTTAAAAACAATATTTTTCAATGATAGTCCTCCTGAATCAGTGCCATTTCACTGAACATGATCTATATTTTTGTTCTCTTGATGATAGCCATGCTACGGAGCCTAAAATGTTATCTAGAATTTCAATCTTTTCTTTCATTTATTTTTTTTCAAAGTTTATTAAATTATAAAAGTTTCCATTTCTGCCCCTCCTCCCAACACCCTCTCATTTCCCCCCCTCCCTCTCCTCCTCCCTCTCCATCCCTAAGAGCAGTCAGGGTTTCCTGCCCCATGGGAAGTTCAAGTTCCTCCCCCCTCCCTCCAGGTCCAGGAAGGTGAGTATCCAAACAGACTGGATCCCAAAAATCCAGTAAATGCAGAGGAAACAAGTCCCAGTGTCATTGTCAATGGCTTTTCAGAAAGACTCCGGGCCAGCCACATTCAGAGAATCCGACCATTTGTTTTTGTGTTGTTATTGACTTTTATTTTGTTCTGGTTTGTTTCATCCTTTGGTACTAAGAGTTAAGCCCAAGGTTTCATGTATGCGAGAGATTCTCCCTAACACTGAGCTATATATTCCCAATATAGTCCTTTATTCGTTTATATTGAAAGCTTGAAATATGGTTTTACTAAGGAACTCGGGTTGTGTTTGACTGCAATTTTTCCATTCCTGCCTTCCAAGAAGCTGGAATTACAAGCAGGTAACTTCAGGCTAAGTTAGTTTCATATATATTTACCAAATGCCAAACATTCAACATAACACCTCTCAGATTTCTGCTAACCTTGATTTCAGAAATAGAAAGACATGATTCTAACATTAATAGGTAAGAACAAGTTAATCCAAAGGGTCAAAGGAATCTTTAGTAAAGGAAGTAATGTCAGATGTTATAGCACCTGGCTTAATATTATACCACAGAATCATGATTACAAACAGCATGTGACAGGCCAAAATAATAATGTTGACTGATATGTGGCTTGGAAATAAACTCACAAAGCCAAGATGTTTGACTTTTTGCAAATGACAAAAGTATACAGTGGAATATTGGGCAATATCTTTAGTAAATTAGGAAGAATGAATCTCACTGAATCTATAGTTCTTACACAATATAAAAATCAATTTAGAATGGATCAAACAAAAAATTGCAACAAATAAACTTAAACACATAGAATTAAATAGTTATTTATTGTTTTACCTAAAACTTTGTAATTACTGAAGAAATGCAAAACATCATGGAAAGACTTCAAGTATAGGCATACACAAGGACTTTCTGAATCATACTCCAAAATGCACGAAATAGGAGAAAGAATTGACAAATGGGATTGAATGAAATTAAAAACTTCTTCAAAGCAAAAGCAAGAGCTTACAGAGGTGAAGAGATATCTATAGAGTGAGAGAAAAGCCTCCACCACAATTCACACTATAAAGGATTATTATGCACACTATATGAAAAAACTAAAAAATTAAACAATAAAGATAAAAGATAATGCAATAAATATCAGTAAGCAAATGAACTGAGTAGACATTTTTCAAAGAAGAAATAAATGACAAATTTTTAAAATAATCATTATCAGGCTTTTAGAGACAGGGTTTCTTTGTATAGCCCTGGCTTTCATGAAATTAACTCTGTAGACCAGGATGGTCTCAAACTCACAGCCTCCTTAGTGCTGGAATTAAAGTTGTACACTATGACCACTGGGCCCTTTCTGAACATTGCTACTATTACTTATGTTTAGGAAAGTTTATGTGTGTGGAGGGGGTGTCCATGGAGGTCATAAGAGGAAATCAATTGTTTGGAGCTGAGGGCGTTGTTCACTTAAGAATCATAGCCCAGAAGCCCTGAGCTTGACCTTACCTGAATGCTTCTTCCCATGCAGTGAGTTCTTATGGGAGGAGAAAGACTTATTACATCATGCTACCTGACACAATACTAATGCATTATTTGAGTGTGGTGATACCTGTGATCAGATTACTAACAGTAGTACAGGTGATTAAGTGTCATAAAGTGCTGTCATTAGAAAATGAAATTTTCTCTAGCTAGAACTTCAAGTATAATGTTGAAGAGATATAGAGTGGAAAACCTTGTCTGTTCCTGATATTAATAGAATCACTTTGAGTTTCTCTCTACTTATTTGACGGTGGCTGTCAACTTGTATATTGCTTTTATTATGTTTAGATATATTCCTTGTATCCCTGATCTCTCTAAGACCTTAATTATGAATAGGTGTTAGATTTTGTCAAATACTTTTTAAGCACCTAATAAGATGGTTATATATTTATTCCTACAATTTATTTATATGGTAGATTTTTGTGTGCAAAACCGTCCCTGCATCTCTGGGATGAAGTCAACTAAATCGTGGTGGATGACTTTTTTATGTGTTCTTTCAACTGGTTTCAGTATTTAATTGAGTATTTTTGCATCGACATTCATGATGTAGATTGTCCTGTAAATCTTTTCATGGTTGAATCTTTATGTGGTTTCAATATCAGGGTAACTGTAACCTCATAGAAAGAGTTTGGTAATGTTCTTTCTGATTATATTGTGTGGAACAATTTGAGAAGTATAAGCATTAGTTTTTGAAGTTTTTTGAATTCTACATTGAAGTCATAAGGCCCTTTTATTGTTGTTCTTGTTGTTAGAAGGCTATGGTGACTGCTTCTATTTCCTAACAGGTTATACATTTATTTCAATTGTTCATATGGTTTTGATTTAATTTCAGTATGTGGTAACTATTCAGAAAATTGTTAATTTCTTTTATATTTTCAAGTTTGGTGAAGTACAGCTTTCCAAAGTATGACCCAATGATTCTCTGGATTTCTACAGTGTCTGTTGAAATGTCCCCTTTTCATCTCTGATTTTGTTAATTTGGATGTTTTCTCTCTGACTTTTGAAGGAGATTAAGGGGATACAGATTAGAAAGGATAAAACTTTCACTAATTTGAAGATGATATGATAGAATACATAAGTAACACCAAAAAATTAGATCAGTGAACTCCTTCAACTAATAAATGCCTTCAGTAATTTGTCAGGATACAAGGTCAACTCAAAAAATAGATATCCCTTGCATATACTAATGATAAAGGGGTTGAGAAAGAAATGAGAGAAACAGTAACATTTACAATAGCCACAAATAACATAAAATATCTTGGGGTAACACTAACCAAAGAAGTGATAGACCTGTTCAACAAGGACATTAAGTCTCTGAAGAAAGAAATTGAAGAAGATATCAGGAAATGGAAAGGCCTACTATGCTCTTGGACATGTAGGATAAACATAACAAAAATGGCAATCCTACCAAAAGCAATCTATAGATTTAATTCAATACTCATCAAAATCCCAAAACAATTGTTTCTAGACCTTGAAAGAATAATACTCATTTCAGATAGAGAAACAAACAAACAAAAAAAACCCAAGATAACCAAAATAGTCT